TCCTTTGTAGCTCCCAGCAACATTTCTCTATTATTCTACCTACCTCCAGGTTCTGCCAGTTACACAAGCTCATTAGGCAAGTTATTCTCCGCTTTCCTGCCTCTGCTTGCTGTCTATGTCCTGTTAAGTTTTCTAGGCTTTCTTTTAAGCATCTCAGAAATTTCAGCAACTTTTTCCAATTTTGATATTCCTCAACTTCAAGGTTACCTATATCCATGGTATTCTCAGCATCCTTCTATATAAACACCACACCCATTGCCTAAAGTTTGAAAGCAGTTTTCATTTTAAACAAATACATCCACTCACACGATAAGTTGCCGTCTACATTATGCAATAAAGAAAATAACAGACATACCATTTTAACAGACATTTAACAAAATTACAATATCTTGACCCAGGGTAGCACTACCTTCTCAAGTCACTTGATGTATGCCTTCATATAGAGTCCGAGACCTTCAACAATTTCAGAATTCTTTTCTCATCATAACAGAGAAGTTTTCAGAGCTGTCATACTTTCATAATTACCATTAGACTCAACCAACTATTTCCAAATCCTCTGCACCATCTTAAGATGGACACCCAAACACTGAAACATTTGTATTAGAGCTTCCAGCACAAATTCTAAGCAGTACAGCATGCCATTTCCAAATTTCTGGTGGAGTAAATTGAGTATTGGTGCTTTTATTTTTCTCTCACAGACAGTGCCAAACTGAACCAACTATATTGTGCAGTCAACAAAATCAAAAACGTGCATGCATGAAATTAAAAATATAAATATGATAATGAATAAAAAAAAAAAAAAAAAAAAAAAAAAAGTCCACCCCAAGCAAGGTTGTAAAGCCACTAGGGGTTACTGTGTGTGCAAAAAGAGTATGCACTCGTGGCCTGACGATTGCATATAGTATGAAAAACAGACTGTCTTCTATGCCTCTAAGTATTATATATATATATATATTATATATATATATATATATATATATATATAAACCAAAACAGAAACATTACTAAGGACTGGGAACAATACAATAGAAGAGTAATCAGAAAGTAGATAGCAACTGACATGACATTTAAATTTTTTTTTTAAAGATTAAAGTTGACTGGAAAGAATGGAGTCAGAAAAACAAAAAAGTGGGAGAAAAGAAACTTAGCTGAAAACTTACATCTAGCCATCTTGACCAAACTGAGGAGAAATCATTGCAAGTCTAGTACTGAGACTAAATTCATGAAGTTTAGGGATCATAGCAAAGAACTCAGCCAAACAATTACCATAAAAGTATTTATAAAAAAAGGCACAGGGTGGCAAGTTTACAGCAGTCAGAAAGTGTCCAAAGTAAAGACGTAATGCCAAAATTTTCTTGGTAGCTTTGAAGTAATAAAAATGATATGTTATTCTGCTTTCACATTCTTAGCTTTTGTGCCGATACATATTTATGTGGACATAATTACTTCAGGTGGTGATATGCATGATTTATGTTGAAGTTATATTTTGGAATACAGTTTGATTTCTTTAAGAAAATTGTAGGATATATGGACTAATATCGTGAATGAGTTTTATTGTTGGTTGGTTGCATGATTTCATTTGCTCCTACTAATGGATTCAATCTAGTCTTTCCACTTCATATCAGCCAAGAGAATGCTAGCCCAGGAATGTCTCACTTGCCTAGAGATTAGCATCAGCCATGCCGATGGAAAGCAGAAAAAGGGGCTAATGATAAGAGAGCAGTTTTGTTTTGAAGGTGTTAAAATTAACAAGCCATCATTTGCCCCAGTTAACCGACTAAAAAGGTAACTGACATCAGCTACCAATTTGACCATATCAAACTGATCATCCTTTCTATAATGACAGGAGTAAATGGTTGTCATCAACATAGCTACTAAGTTGTGAACCGATGCCATTGGGAAAATTGTTAAAATTAAAAACAAAGTAGGACAAAGGGTAGAGCCCTGGAAGACAGTACAAAATTTAGTTAAATTCTACCAACAATTATAGTATTGATTAATAAAGTAGGTTCATTTCATCCTTTTTTGTCAACTCAAATCACCATTATTACTTTATATTTGGTGATTTTACAAGCAACTTAATCTAAGTATTATTTATATAATTAAATAATAGAGAAGTTTTGTCTATTTTAAGCAAATTTCTTTCATATTATCTGATAAGCTTAATAACATTATCATTGAAAGAAAATCACCATATTGACATGTTTTTTTAATGCTATTTAAGCTTTCAGCTTACATAAGCCAGAGATGACAAGTACATTACAATAAGTTAAATACAGACATAGCAACAATGATAGTCTGTTTTATTTGCATAGATTTTCAACAAAATATACACATACACACACGTGCATAAATGTATGTGTAATTCCATAATTTCACTATTCTAAAAAATTAAGTGTTTAAAGAATTATTATCAATGAATCTAAATCAGTGATCGAACATTCTATTGCAGTTGTACTTACAAATGTTGTCAACTATTGCTGTTGTAATAAGCACTTATTAATTTAACCCTATTTATAAAGAAATCGATATCTGAAACCAAATACAAATTAGAGACATTTTTTAGTGATATTCAAACTGTCTTTCATGAGGATAAACTTGAAAAATCTCACAGAATGAGAGCATACTTTAAGAAAAGACAAATTATATAAAAAAAATAAAAAGATAGTAGCCTTACTTGAGTTTGTCCTTCTTGAGCACAATCTTCATGAACAACTCCCATTTCCTTAAAATGAAAGGAAATTTTGCATAAATGCTACATACAAATGTTCAATATTTCAAGCAATCATTTAAAAGAAGCTCAAGTAATCTTCAGCTTTAGAAATCTTTGCTATCTGACAGAATAAAACAAGTTAAGAACCAGGATTAAAAAATTAGCACAGGAAGAATAAATGTACAAGTCAATTCAGAGAAAGGCACAGTGGCTGAATTATTTAAAGCAAGTTTTAGGAATTTTGTTATCCCAAATTACTTAGATGATGGCACAATTGATGAAAATCAGTTTAATTCATGAGCGTCTTATGAGAGCTGAAGTATGTACAATTATAAAAATGACAAAACCAGTTTTGTTCGTGTGTAGGAAGAGACCTGTTAAATGTTCTTAATCTTCTCTACAGTTTAGAGATTCTGCACACAAAGATAAAAAGTAATTTTCACACACGTCTGCAACAGGGACTAAGTAACTGCCAACTAATTTTTATAGTTTATTACATTTTATTTCATAATTTTTCATAAGTGCCCAAGGGATAAGGAAAGATTCAAGGCATTACAAAATATTTTCAGGGAGTATTTTGTACATGTGTGGAAGTTTACACTAAAATTTTAATTTTTTCTTATAATGAAATAAGAGAAAATTTAAAAAAAAAAAAAAAAAAAAAAAAAAAAAAAGTAATATTTTTAGTATCCAAGAGAAATTGACATTTCAGGGAACGAAAGCAAGATTCATAGGTACATTCATAAGTATGAAAATATTTTAATGAGATTGAGTATTTTGGTAATTTTTAAAATGAACGTTTTTAGCCTGAAAAATTCTCATGTAAATGTTTTATACAGATTTAACATTTCAGACATTTCTTGTTAGACATAGAAGAAAAATTGTTTTTCCTATCAATTTTTTTAATCTGTGGCACAACAAAAAAAAAAAAAAAAAAGTTTTAAGAATTATTCCAAATTACATATCACTTTTGTATGAAAGTGACTAGGAGGAAACATCCTTTTCAAATTACCTTGTTAGATTCCAGGTATGAAGCTTTTTCTGCTGGGGACATGGATTTCGTTTCTGCTAGAAATTTGTTCATGTATCCATCAGCTGAAAAGAAAATAAGACAATAGAGAAACACTTGCAAGACTAATGGCAATGATTTGATTTCCTTTTAAGTTCAGTAAAACCAGTTCATAAATAAGCTTTTCTAGGAAATGAGGTTTTGCCGCCATCCACAAGCCAATCTTGAGCAGTGACCATATAAACTAGGTACTGCCACTCCATTCTGATACCTTGGTTTAAAATGGGTTTTTATAAATGAAAAAGCTTTAAGATATCAGTTTAGCACATTTGTAAACAAAGTTTAATTCTCAGTGAAATTAAAAATTAAATTTTGTTTACAAATGTGTCAAGAGTGCCAAATTTAAATGATTTTTTTTTTGGAAGCGACCAAAAAGTTGATTCTAATCAATATAATTTCTGTTCGAGATACATCAGGGTATTCTGCTTGCTGGAAATGGTGAATTTAGTCATTTAGCTTTCAATTAAAGTAAAATGGATAGTGTTAGTAATTATAGTTTTTAATTTCAGTGCTAAGTCTTTCATTAAACTGAATTTCTAATTCAAACCAATACATTCAAAACTAACTTTTTAAAAGGCTGCCATTAAGCTCTATGTCAAATGAATTCCCATTTTCAGGGAGATAATTATATATATGTTTGAAAAGAACAAATAAATTAGGTACCTCACTTTTTTTGTTTAAAAACAAACAAAAAAAAATTATGTCAGCAATAGGTTAACAATGCCAATGAGTTTTAGTACCTTTAGTAACAAACAGAAAAAAAAAAAAAAGTGTTACACCCACACTTAATTTTATGAAATTAAGTTTTTATCGCAAAATGTTTTTATTAGTTAAAAGCAAGACTTTGGAGAATACAAGTTTGTTTTTTGGGTTTTTTTTTTTGTTTTCAGTTACTCATTTCCTGAAAATCTGCTTCAAATCAAAATAAAAAGAAAATGCTACAAAACTTACATCAAGAAAGCTTCTATAAGATGTATTAAGGACACTTATTTCTTAATATTTTGATTAGTGATGAATTTTCTTTAATTTTTAATTAAAATTTATAAAAAGTTTCAAATGTTATATTTCTGCATTACTTTGATTACATTAGGTGATATTGTTATTAAGTGAAAAAATAACTTTAATAATGAAAAAAAATTAAAAGCTTAACACGTCTTCAAACACAAAGACTTAGAAGATTTTTGAAATTTTTGTGTATAAACGTGCCCATTTTAGAGGCATGGCCATCCATACATGACAATATCAGAAAATAAGAGTGATGACTAGTAAATTTAAAGCCAAAATTCCTACAATTAAGTTACAGAGAATATTCCCCACTTTAAGATTACTTATATATATATTTGCTGATTTAAAATGTTTTTGCTACACAGCAATAACTGTTTCAAAAACTGAAGCTAAAAACTTCAAATTTAATTATATAATTATCAATAAGAACACACACGAGAAAGAGGAACTGTATGCAGCAGTTTGCGATCTTTACTGCTTCCTCTCTTTCAATGTTGATATTTTTAGTTTTTGCAACAGAATTAGTTTATCAGACTGAAAACTTCCACTATTAAATTTTCAAACACTAGTGAAGAGTTGTTTGTTTTTTTTAATCATTTCACTGCAAGCAAGGCAATAAAGCCACAAGGAGGTTACTGAATGGCAATAAAATAACAGGAATGAAGGCAGAAAACAACAACTGATGTATGGGAAGCAAAAAACCAGAAGCCAGAAGAAAGTTCCACAAGAGGGAAGTTCAAGAGAAGAAACTGATAGCATAGTAGTTAGTTGCATCTAGCAATTTTGTTTGTAAAATGATTACTTGCCACCAATCTAGTAGTGTACATAGATTCATAAAGTCTATGTACCACAGTAGAAGGTTCATAAATGAACAATTACAATGAAAGTATTTATAGAAAAGGCAATGGAAGTGATGTTACGGTATGGGAAAGTGACAAGCTGAGATGCCAGGTAACATTGCAGATTCTTTGGATTTTATCAAGAATCTCTAAATATGTAGCAGGAACACCAGACCAGATTTGGCAGCAATTGTCAAAGCAAGGATGACTGGTAAATATGCAAAATACATTCTGATAAAAAAAAAGAAAATTGTGCAGCACAGTGAACCAACTTTCTTACCAGTTGACCTAGAAATTTATTCACTATAATTCTTCCTCTTCATTCAGTGGTAAGCTTTAGTTTTAGAAGGTGTAAAGAGACTCCTGCAAATTAGTATCAGCCATGCTGATGGAAAGCTGAAATGGTTATCTCAGACGATTAAAAGAGAGCAGTTTTTTTTTTGTAGACATTCAAATTATCAAATCTTTTATTCCAGTTAGCAGATCATAGGTCATTTTTTGATATCAGCTACCAATCTGATGAACCAACTTACTATTAAAGACAGGAGTAAATAGTAGTACAATCAGCATAGATACCAAGTTGAGAACTAAGGACATCAGGAAGGTTGCCGATGAGAATTAAGAACAGCATAGGCCTGAGGATAGAACCCTGGGGAACACTTTATTTGGAGCTGCTTTATTCATCAAGTTGGTATTAATATTTTACACCTAAAAAGACACACAGATAGGTGTGTGTGTATGTCTGCGTCACTTTTTTCAATTAAAAAAGAAAACTAACTTTTAAAAGCTCATGTTACAGAAATTTTGGATTTCCAAGTTTTACTGTGTTTTTGGCAAGTTTTTCAATTTTTTTTTTGTACAATAATTTTCATAACCAAAATGAATTTGGGAATAGAAATTGTGAAATCCACCGAAAGTAATACATGAAATAAAAAAATGACTGTACAGAAAGTAAGAACCTACACACATCAAGTTGGCAGAAGAATTATTGTTGAACTTAAAAAAAAAAAAAAAAAAAAAAAAAAAAAAAAAAAAAAAAGGTAAGCTCATATCACAGCTGTTTGAGGTTTTTACTATAGCCCCACTTAACTAAAGTCAATTCAGGTTTCCTATGGTAAAAATTTTTTCCCAAGTGAAAATCATCACAAAAATGGCAAAAGTCATTTTGTCACAGCTTATTTTCTCTCAAAAAATGGATTTTCATGCTTTTATAGGGGTAAAATATTGAAAAATGACTGTTTTATCATCACCTAAACAAATATCAAGGAAACTTTTGATCTGAACCCCATGAAACTAGGTATTTTCTGAAAGCAAAGGATATATTCTTTCATTTAAAAGTAAAATTAGCTGGTGTAAATGACTCAATTTTTTTCAGTGGGTAAAATGTGAAGAAAATAGTGAAAATTTTGCATTTTTTTCTTGTTCTAAATATTTCCCCCATTAATGGGAAATTAACCATTTTTTTTTAAAATCAGAAAGCCTAAATCATAATCAAACTATTTCAGGCATAAAATTGAGAGTTTTGAAGGAAATCAACATTCCTAGGGGTTCAAAAGGTGACAAAATCCATTGTTAATTTTCAATTATATAACTGCCAAGGGTTAAAAAATTGACACCCGGCCACGGAAATCTTTAGTAAAAGGCAAGAGATTTATCTGCAATCCCTAACCACCAGAAACCAAAAGGTTTTTTTTTCCCCAAAAAATAGCAATAAGGAAAATTAAACCTCATTGACTTTGATGTCTAGGTCAAAGGTCAGCCAGCAATAAACGGCAAACCTTAGAACAAGTTGTAATAAAACCCACCACTCCCAGATAAAAGCAAAGAGTGGGAAAAAAAAAAAAAAGGTTCACCATTACTAGGGTTTGATATAACCTATGTTTGAACAATGGCTTGATGAGTTTTGTTTTTAACACCCCGTGACCCAGGTGATGACAACACCTAGCAGACGACTTTTTTTCGCCGATATCTTTCAGTATTTCCCCATCGCCGGTCCATTTATTCAATGATGTTCATGCCAAATGAAAGAGAAAGGAATGAATTTTGAAGCAAAATATTTTCTTCATTTTAAAAAAAAATGAAAAAAAAAAAAAGATTTTTCTCACAAAAATTGGGCATAATTTCTTAATGCTAACCGCTGAGTGACATTTTCCAAATCACGGGATTAATTACCAGTGAAAATTCCATGTGCAAACAAAGCCCGTCTGGATTTTATAACGTCTTTTAAAAAGGTGGTGGGGTTTATTAATTGATCAAAAACCTGTTCCACAATTGTATTTTTCACAGTGTGCAAAAGTCATCAGGATCCAGGAAAACAGTTTGGCATAGGTTTTTCTTAGGTTTAAAAGGAATTGCAAAGTATTGCCTTTAAAGGTCCAGTGTCAATTTTTTAACCCTTGGCAGTAATTGAAAATTAAAATGGATTTTGTCAAATTTTTTTGAACCCCTAGGAATGTTGTATTTTTCACGGTCATTTTATGCCTGAATTATTTGATTATGATATTATTTTCAAAAAAAAAAAAAAAAAAATGGATTTCATTAATGGGAAAACATTTGTTTAGGAAAAAATTTTTTCAAGATTTTTTTGACATTTTATGAAAAATTTAAATTTAATGAGCTAATTTTACTTTTTTTTGAAAGAATATATTGTTTGCTTTCAGAAATACCTAGTTTTTTGGGGTATAGGATCAAAAGTTTCCCTTTGATAAGGGTTTTGAAATAAAACAGTCATTTTTCATTATTTTATAAATATATAAAAATATATATTTTGATAGAAAATATACAAAATGCTTTTGGACAGTGATAATTTTCACTTGGGAAAGAAATTTTTAATTTAGGAAACCTGAATTGATTTTAAGTTCATATCAGGAAATCAAAATATATATATGATATATATATATATATATGCTTATATATATATATATTATATATATACTTAGTCACAATATTTTATAATCATGAAATATATCACGATGAATATATATATATATATATATATATATTTTTTGAATCAGTTTCATTTTTTAATCTTCAATTGACTGTAGCAAAAAAAAAAAAAAAAAAAAAAAAAAACACCACAATGAGGTTATCTCCCTTACACCAATTATTATTGAATTTCAGAATACTAAAATTGTAGTACTAATTACCCTTGGAAAAGATATGAATCTTCTCCCCCAGCTAGGGGTAAATAGCAGGATAGACTGGGTTCTATAGCTTTGGATGGTAACTGGTCGACTGCAGAAAAGAAAAAAAAAAAAAAAAAGCTACTGCGGGGGAAATAATCTGCCACGTCAGTCATGTATCGAAAGGTATATGATTGTCTACACGTGTATCATGCATGGGACATAACTGATGAGTGATTATTGTAGTCAGTTATAGTGAACCCCATTTTTTTTTAAGGTAATGGAGTGTCAAGTTGCGTTGTGGTTTGATATCGGCTTAGAATTAGAGAGCAGAGTTCTAATTCTAATCAGGTTCATTACATTCACTTACATGCAAATACCCTTGGGAAAGGGTATGAATCCACCCCTCAGCTATGGGTTGAATAGCAGGACAGACTGGGTTCTACAGCCAGCCTACCATAGAAAGAAATGGTAACCTACTGCAGGAAGATTTTCTGCCTAGTTAGCCATGAATCAAAAAACATCATCCAAGTGTGTATAACAAATGGTATTTAACTAGGTACCTCCACGAAATCGCTAAAAAAAAAAAAAAAAAAAAAAAAAATAGCTTGATGAAAAAGACGCCAACCTTGCCGAAAACAAAATTTTATTGTCTAAATGCTTATGTTATTATTAAGAGGAAAGACCAAAGTTTTGTTTTTTTTTTTAATTATTTTTAAAAAATTTTCCTTTTTAAAACATTCTAAATTTTGATTAAAAATACCTTGTTTCTATTTGTATCAGCGGAACTAGTAAATAACAGACAATTTTTTAGCACGTTTTTTTGGCATGACACACATTAATTTGAAAAATCGTGCAAAAATAGAAATAATTATCGGATGATAATGAAACTTTCAGGAACTATTCACAGATGATCGAAATTATGTTTTTTTTTTATGAAAGTCATGGTAGAAATATTTTTAAAAAATATTTATTACCCCCCATAACTAATTTTATGAAAACGCTAGAAATTCGATCGCATCGGTTTTAGTGATTACAATAATTAAAAAGCACAGGGCTTTGAGGAATGCAAATAAATTTTTTTTTTTTTTAATTGGATACGCAGTACCTGAAAATCAGCTCTGAATTGTAACATACAAAACTCAAAACAATGATATTATTTAATTTCAAATGCTTTTATTTGCTTTTAGTTTTTATGAATATGGACAATATTTTCTGAAAGCAAAAAAATTTTTTTCGATGAAAAATGAATTTTTAATACAATTATTTGTTATTTCATTAATTATAATAGATTTTACATTTAAGTTGTTAAAATATTATAAAATTAGTTAAAAGCCGCATTGATCATTTTGACTAATCAGAAGATCCCCAGTAATTAAGAAATGTAATTTTGTGCTTATAATCGAGCTGTAATTATAAAATACAGAAGACCAACCAGAATATAATTAAGTTGCGTTATTTGAGTTAACATTGTTCTCCGCTGTTAAGGCCTTTACTTTTTGAAACACGTGTGGAGAAGTTAATTTGATTTTTAATTTCAACTGAGAAGGGTACCTACAAGTATCAGTATCATCTTAGGAAATTTATATGATCTTATTTTTATATTAATCTGTTACGACATTTTTCCATAAATGAAATATCAAAATTAATAATAAAATGAATGCAAATACAAATAACAGTAGAATGTAATAAATGTACATAAAATTATAGTATTTTATGTACAATTCTGATAAAATTTCATAAGAAAGGTACCTATAAATTAATTAGATACCTTTCTTAAGAAATATGAAATTTAATGTCACTCTTAACAGTTTTATTTTAATTTCTTTACAATATATTTCCCATAAAGCATCATAAACGTAAAGCTGAAAGCTAAGGAAAGAAAAAAAAAATAAATAAAAAATTAGACCGCTGAAAGTTTTCGTTAAAAATAACGAGGTAAATAATTTGTTCACGTAAATGTAAATTATTTCACTTTTCTCCTTCTGTAGAACAAATTAGCCTCATGGAATTCGTAAATATATCATTCATCACATGTCAAGAGACGCGAAAGTTTATGACCTGCTTTGTTTTATTTTCAAATTACATCTTTTTTGGCACAAAAGCTAAGTTAAGTTTGGTTCAAAATATTTTAAATAGACATAATTTCTGATTTTCTTAAAATCAGTTTTGAAAAAATGATAATTGATATTTAAAAAAAAATTTCAAAGTCAGATTTCCAGTTTTTTTTAAAATGGAAAAAAAAAAAAAAAATGGTCAATTTTGCTGACTCAAAAAAAAAAACTAGATTTTTAACGAAAATTTCGGACGTGCTAGGAACGATTAAAAAATGGAAAAAAAATACCAAAAATACTTTTACCTTTCCTCTTAATAATAACAAACATTTAGACGATAAAATTTTGTTTCGTCAAGTTTGGCGTCTTTTTCATCATGCTATGCTCTTTTTTTAGCGATCTCGTGGAGGTACCTATATTTAACTGATTGGAGTCAAATTAAAAGACTTAATCTCAGTCAACATAGAAGCTAGTTTTATAATACTGGCAGAAGTGTTACTGTCTGGTCAAGCAATTAACATACACTCAAGGACTTCCTGAGAAATCTGCAGGAGTAAAATGACAGCTAAGGTTTGTTTCAAGCAACAACAAAAAAAAAAAAAAAAAAATATTGGCCACTAGTAAGTGACCTGCAGATTTTAACCTGTGATAAATTCAGCCACAAATGCAGAAACGAAGTATCTGAATGAATACTTACATTTGAAGCTAATTTGGTTTGCATTGTTTGCCAGTGCATGAACTAAAGCAATAGTTCCACAAGCATTTCCAATAGTTTGTTTAATAAAATACAAGTCAGTGGATTCCTTCACAGAACCAATTTGGTTATCTGTAGCCTGCAAAAAAAAAAAAAAAAAAAAAAAAAGACTTCAACATGGAGAAAAGAAAAACATTTATATTAATGTAATTTTATTGAAAGAGAAAATAAAATAAGTGATTTAAAAAATAAAAAGTGGGTGACAATTTGACACTGCAGAGAACATAAAAATAAATTTCAGAGATTAAGAGTTGCTTCCCTTGCATATATGGGTTTACCTCCCTTTAATTAAGACATTTAAAAATATATAAATCATTTGTCAATGAAAATAAAATTAAAAAATTTGTTCAATAGCTTACATTTTTGGTTAGCGGATACAGAAGCATAACAGCAATAACTGGCTTGGGTACCATAGCCAATAACGCTTCATCTGTACCATAAACATCGGTAAACTCCCATTCTTCTGGTACTCCTATACTTTTACTAAACTGAAAAAAAAAATTAAAGTCTGTCAATATTTTTTAAATTTGATAGAACTTGAAAAATGTTTCTTTTTCAGGTGAGAATGAAAAAAAAAAAAAAAAAAAAAAAAAGTGTTACCTTCAAGCATATTTCAAGTTCAAAATAATTTGAATAATTTCTCTTTAAGAGATTTTATGTATGTGTCCATTCCTTCAGGACAATTCCATAGACTTTATTTGAATTGCCATGTATTCTTGAGAAAAAGTCTGGATAGTAACAAACTGGAAAAAATCTGAAATTCAAACTGAAGGTCCCTATGCAAAGCCCCAAGATGCTAACAAAAGAAAAGTTATTCAGATCATAAATACAACAGAAAGGACAGCAAAATGGTTATGGATTAAGTGTTAGCTCTTGGACTTCAATGTAACAAAATAATTATCAAGCCGGGTAAATCTGTAAGTAATTATTAATATAATTGTAAACGGCAATAATATAAACATCGTTTTTTTTTATGTTTAAATACACAACTTGAAGTGTACAGGTACAGTCAACACATGTCAATTTGTAAATTGTGTTATTTGTAAATGTTTTTTTTTATGTGAAACCCATTTTATACGCGGTAATTTTAAGTTACTATTTACTAGGTATGTGCATGAGATCGATAAAAAAAATAGCATACCATGAATAAAAAAGGCCTTAAATTTGATTAAAATAATTTTTTATCGTATAAATGTTAATGTTATTATCAAGAGGAATGATCAAAGTATTTTTTGAATATTTTTTAAAATTTTTTAATAATTTCTAGCACATCCAAAATTTTCGTTAAAAATCTTCAATTTTTTTGAATCGGAAAAATCGTTGTTTTTGACGTTTCTTTACAAAAGTGAATGTTGCCGTTTAAAATTTATTTAAAAAATCAATTATCATTTTTTTTTTAACTAATTTAAAAAAGATTAGAAATTAGAAAGTTTATTTAGTATATTTTGAAACAAAGATTGCTTATTTTCTGTGATGAAAACATGTTTTTTTCAAATGGGAGAAAGCAGATCTGAACGGTGTTGATTGACAAATGACAAGTGCGTGTTTTTCATCATTGACATATTACGTCTTGGAAATTTATAAAACGGAAGGTTGTAAGTGACAATTTATTTTACGTTTTTTTTTATTTATTTACCTCGTTATTTTAAGTAGTCATACCATGAAAAAACAGCCTTAAACATTTGACGAAATCAGAATTTTATTACCAAAATGTTTATGTTACTATTAAGTGGGAGAACAAAGTAATTTTTCATTATTTTAAAAAATTTTCTGTCTTTATTAGAACGTTTTAACTTTTGATTGAAAAATCTCGTTTCTCGTCATCACCGGAACTTTAGTAAATAACATGGCAAATTTTTATTCATTTTTTCTTATGACACATTAATTTTGAAAATCTTGCAAAAATAGAAATAATTGTCAGATTTTAAAAATGTTTCAGGAATGCTGGAAATTATTATAAATTTTTTAAAGTAATTTTTATATAAATATAAAGGCCGTTAACAGTGCCATTACAAAATCAATCATGTGATGTTTTATTGGATCATTTTCTTCCGGGCCTCGGTAATTTGAAAACGATTTTTTTTTTTTACACATAGGTTAAAGGACAGTAAGATTATTCTCATTGCTGTTTTTTTGATTGTAAAAACCTTGTACTATTTATAATCTGTACAGATATAGGTACCTAAAAAATAGCAATATAAAGGATTCGTCAGTACCGCTAATTTTAGAATATTTAACAACTTTTACTAACTTTATGTAAAAATAATAAAATAATTTATTAAATAACAATTAATTCATTTAAAAAATTCATTTTTCATTGAAAAAGTTTTTTGCCTCTGAAGACAATATTATGCATATTGATAAAAACAAATGAAAAAAGCAATAAAAGCATTTAAAATTAAATAGTATTTTTTTGTTTTATTGGGTTTTATATGTTACAATTCAGAGCTGATTTTAGGTTTACAAGTTTTTTTAAAAAAAAAACCTGATTTACTTTCCTCAAACCCTTGTGTTTTTATTAATATAATGACTTCCCTGCTTCGTCCATAAACTTTTTACAGTTTTTCTTTAATTCATTTATGGGGGTGGTAATATTTATAAAAAAATATTTTTATAATGACTTTTAAAAAAATAACATTTATAATAATTTCCATCATTTCTGAATAGTTTTGAAAGTTTCATTAAAATCTGACAATTATTTCTATTTTTTCAAGATTTTCAAAATTAATTAAGAAAAATGCAAAAAAAAAATTAGCCATGTTATTTACTAGAGATGACGAGAAACAAGGTTTTTTCAATAGAAAGTTAGAATGTTGTAATAAAGACAGAAAATTTTTAAAAATAATTAAAAAATTTTTTGTTCTTTACTTCTTTTAACAGACATTTTGGCGATAAAATTTTGTTTTCGTCAAGTTTGACATAAATGTTTTTTCATCAGACTATACGCTTTTTTTATCTCGGATGCATATACCTACTATTTACCTTTTAGCAATAGACATATTTTAAGACTTTTGTCTATTCTCATTTTTTTTTTAATTTTATATTTATAAACTAAAGACTTTTGTCTATTTTTTTAAATTTATATGAACATTTGCATTTTGTATATCAGAATTGTAACATATAGTGTATTTATAGAGTTTTTTTTATCTCTATCATCGCTTGTATATTATTTTTATTTTTACTTTATTAGTTTAATTGTCATCGGTTTTAAGAGATACATATATAAATATAATATAGGCTTCGTTAATACTCAATATATTCCAAGAGCATTTCATAGTCTATTGTATTTGACAACTTCAAATCTGTAAACAGTTTTAAATCAATGTTAAGGAATATTATGGTGCTTATTGCACTTTTATTTTATGGTTTATAGGAAAAAAATATATGCCATGTTTATGGACAATTATTTTAATTTTGTGAATACATCCATTTAAAGTTAAGTTGTAATACGGTTAAGAATCAGGCTAAACGATAAAATACAAAAAAAAAAAATAAAATAAAAACGGCAAATATTTAAATTATACAATACTTAAGGAAAAGTGTTAAACTTAGGAACATTAAGATTACCTCATCTGTTATCCATTGAAACTGCTATCCACCGAAAAAAAGAAAAGCCAGTCCCCACTGTGGGTCATTTAAAAGATAGTTTGCACAGCAGATTGGTTGTTACAAACATCCAATCAGATGTGTTCGTCTAATTCTTTAAAAAGGCCAGAGTAACTGTTAGCATTTGGCTGTGAGGGAGAATCAGGGATGGATCTCCCCTGATTGGGTCGATTTGGTGATGGGGAGCATGATGTTGAAAAGACCCGAAACTCCCTGATGAACCAAATCAAAACATCACTGATGACCCCAAATGGGCGCCTACTTAAAAAGCGTATTTTTGAATTATAGGGTTGGGCAAGATTTGAAATTAACAACTGGAAACAATATTAATTTGGGGATAACTGGTTGGGGTGGTGGTTTTTTTTTTTTGTTAAATTTTAATTAGTAATTTTATATTTATTCTAAAAGCAACTAATTACTTCAAACAAAATGCATACTTCTCACAAATAGTGATGGAATTTAATAAATCACAAAACTTAAGTCTTTCTTTTAAACTGGTAAAAAAAAAAAAAAAAAAAAAAAAAAAAAGTCCAAATGAAGGACTGGTTTAGATATTTGTATTTCTTTAAATGTGAGAAATAGGCTAATTTTGCTTTAATTATAAACAAAGCTAGAATTTTTTTTTTTTCTGTTAATGAGCAATTTAACATTTATTTTCTGTCCATGAACTAAATTGAAAATACAAAGAATTTCCATATTAAATTTAGTTGACAGATTATGTAATAGTAAACAATTTTTTTTTAGAATAAAGACTTTAAAAACATTTTTGAATAGTTCGCATGTGCTTCTATTCATTCTAAATGAAAAAAAAAAAAAAAAAAAATGAATGGAGAGTAATTCTTAAAATATGATTAAATAATCTAAGCATGAGAATTAATAGGAACACTTGTGCAAAATTATTCTAGGTGATTTAACCAAAATATATAAATAAAAAAAAAGCTGTGACTTGTAAAAGTTATGGTAAAATTTAATTTGTTTTTGCATTTATTCATCTTAAAACTTTAATATTTTAAGTTTTTCACTTTATTACACCTTGTACAACTTGAATTAAAAACTAATTTTGGAATAGTGGCTATAGGGCATGGAAACTAGTTTCAAGATTGAATGGATCAAAATAAGTATTTTTAAAACATTAACAGTATTTGTATTATGCCACTAACAGCTATAAATGAGGAGTTTTATAAAAAAAAATTTTTCAGAATGAGTGAAGACTGGAAATCACTAGTGGAGAACACAGTCTAATCCATAGCTAAGACAAGAGATGGTTCAGATATTTACAGGGGCATTAATCCAGAAGTGAATGCAACAGACTAACCTTGAATTTTAATTACTCTCAGATTTCACTTTCTGTATCAATATCCATAACATTAACCAAAACATCGCGTAAATAATGGATAATATATATAAAAATTAAAAATTTTAAAGATTTGCTAATCCTACTTGCATATTTTGCAATAAGTAACCTGTAATTAATTGGGATTCAGAGTTTTCTTACCATCAAACTTAAATACAACCAAGTTTTTTTTGCAGTAATCCACACCATTCATTTCCACTACACTATTAATGGACCTGGTCTTTTACCTGGTGTTCCTGGATGCATCAGCAAAGGAGTTGGTTGTACTTTAATTGCACTTTTCATTGCCTGTGAAGAATATTCAGATATTCTATTCGAGGTCAATCACTTTCAATTTCTGATGTGTCAGTGTTGACATACTCATCCCTAACATAGGACAAAATTCTTTCACATAATTTGGTACACCATTGAATATGACCAAGTTTGAACCATCAAATTCCAATCACTATGTTCATCTCAAATTTGGATGTATGCTGTTTACAGGAGTTTTCACCCAGATAGGATATCTATATATATATATATATATATATATATATATATATATATATATATATATATATATATGCTGCATACATTTCAGTCCCAGGCAAAACAATTACAATACCGTCATTGTTTAGCCTCACCCGTTAGATGTAAATCACAGTAACGTTGAAGCTGAAATGTAGTCCCTCAGAGTTACTTTTCCATTATGCTGTTCCTGCCAGTGTATAGGAACAAAATCAAATGTCCCATTCAGCCACACCCTACTTCAAAATAAACAGTCATTGTCAGTTAACAACTCTCCTAAGCAGGTATCATAAGATAAAACTAATTCCAGTAAATAAATGGCACAAAGGTATTGGTGAGGTATCAATTGTCAGATGACATTAATTTTGAAAAATCTTGCAAAAAATAGAAATAATTGTCAGATTTTAAAGAAACTTTCAGGAATGCTGGAAATTATTATAAATTTTTTTTAAAGTAATTTTATATAAATATAAAGGCCGTTAACAGTGCCGTACAAATCAAGTCATGTGATGTTTTTATTGGATCATGTTTCTTCCGGGCCTCCGCACATTTGATTTAAGATTTTTTTTTCTACACATAGGTTAAAGGACAGTAAGATTATTCTCATTGCTTTTTCGTTGATTGTAAAAACCTTGTACTATTTATAATCTGTACAGATATAGGTACCTAAAAAATAGCATTATATACAGGATTCGTCAGTACCGCTTAATTTTAGAATATTTAACAACTTTTACTAACTTTATGTAAAAATAATAAAATAATTTATTAAATAACAATTAATTCATTTAAAAATTCATTTTTCATTGAAAAAGTTTTTTGCCTTCAGACAATATTATGCATATTGATAAAAAAACAAATAAAAGCAACTAAAAGCATTTAAAATTAAATAGTATTTTTGTTTTATTGGGTTTTGTATGTTACAATTCAGAGCTGATTTTCGGTTTACGAGTTCGGATTTTTAAAAAAAAAAAAACCTGATTTACTTTCCTCAAACCCTTGTGTTTTTATTAATATAATGACTTCCCTGTTTCGTCCATAAACTTTTACAGTTTTCTTTTAATTCATTTATGGGGGTGGTAATATATGTATAAAAAAATATATTTTTATAATGACTTTTAAAAAAATAACATTTATAATAATTTCCATCATTTCTGAATAGTTTCTGAAAGTTTCATTAAAATCTGACAATTATTTCTATTTTTCAAGATTTTCAAAATTAATGGTGTCATAAGAAAAAATGCACAAAAAAAAATTCGCCATGTTATTTACTAGAGTTCCGTGATGACGAGAAACAAGGTTTTTCAATCGAAAGTTAGAATGTTGTAATAAAGACAGAAAATTTTAAAAAATAATTAAAAATTACTTTGTTCTTTACTCTTACTCGTCGAAGAGACATTTTGCTGATAAAATTTTTTGTTTTCGTCAAGTTTGACATCTTTTTCATCAGACTATACGCTTTTTTTTAGCTTATCTCGCATATACCTACTATTTACCTTTTTAGCAGTTTCAGTGAGACATCTCGTAAGACTTTTTGTCTATTCTCATATTTTTTTTAATTTTATATTTATACGAACGCAAGACTTTTGTCTATTATTTTTTTTTTAAATTTATATGAACATTTCGCATTTTGTATATCTCAGAATTGTAACATATAGTGTATTTATAGAGTTTTTTTTATCTCTATCATCGCTTGTATATTATTTTTATTTTACTTTATTAGTTTAATTGTCATCGGTTTTAAGAGATACATATATAAATATAATATGAAGCTTCGTTAATACTCAATATATTCCAAGAGCATTTCATAGTCTATTGTATTTGACAACTTCAAATCTGTAAACAGTTTTAAATCAATGTTAAGGAATATTATGGTGCTTATTGCACTTTTATTTTATTTTGTGTGTGTACAGGGGAAAAATATATGCCATGTTTATGGACAATTATTTTAATTTTGTGAATACATCCATTTAAAGTTAAGTTGTAATACGGTTAAGAATCAGGCTAAACGATAAAATACAAATAAAAAATAAAATAAAAACGGCAAATATTTAAATTATACAATACTTAAGGAAAAGTGTTAAACTTAGGAACATTAAGATTACCTCATCTGTTATCCATTGAAACTGCTATCCACCGAAAAAAAGAAAAGCCAGTCCCCACTGTGGGTCATTTAAAAGATAGTTTGCACAGCAGATTGGTTGTTACAAACATCCAATCAGATGTGTTAGTCTAATTCTTTAAAAAGGCCAGAGTAACTGTTAGCATTTGGCTGTGAGGGAGAATCAGGGATGGATCTCCCCTGATTGGGTCGATTTGGTGATGGGGAGCATGATGTTGAAAGACCCGAAACTCCCTGATGAACCAAATCAAAACATCACTGATGACCCCCTCGGGCGCCTACTTAAAAGCGTATTTTTGAATTATAGGGTTGGGGCAAGATTTGAAATTAACAACCTGGAAACAATATTAATTTGGGGATAACTGGTTAGGGTGGTTGTTTTTTTTTTTTTTTGTTAAATTTTAATTAGTAATTTTATATTTATTCTAAAAGCAACTAATTACTTCAAACAAAATGCATACTTCTCACAAATAGTGATGGAATTTAATAAATCACAAAACCTAAGTCTTTCTTTTAAACTGGTAAAAAAAAAAAAAAAAAAAAAAAAAAAAAAAAAAGTCCAAATGAAGGACTGGTTTAGATATTTGTATTTTTTTAAATGTGAGAAATAGGCTAATTTTTGCTTTAATTATAAACAAAGCTAGAATTTTTTTTTTTTCTGTTAATGAGCAATTTAACATTTATTTTCTGTCCATGAACTAAATTGAAAAATACAAAGAATTTCCATATTAAATTTAGTTGACAGATTATGTAATAGTAAAACAATTTTTTTAGAATAAAGACTTTAAAACATTTTTGAATAGTTCGCATGTGCTTCTATTCATTCTAAATGAAAAAAAAAAAAAAAAAAAAAAATGAATGGAGAGTAATTTTAAAAATATGATTAAATAATCTAAGCATGAGAATTAATAGGAACACTTGTGCAAAAATTATTCTAGGTGATTTAACCAAAATATATAAAAAAAAAAAAAGCTGTGACTTGTAAAAGTTATGGTAAAATTTAATTTGTTTTTGCATTTATTCATCTTAAAACTTTAATATTTTAAGTTTTTCACTTTATTACACCTTGTACAACTTGAATTAAAAAACTAATTTTGGAATAGTGGCTATAGGGCATGGAAACTAGTTTCAAGATTGAATGGATCAAAATAAGTATTTTTAAACATTAACAGTATTTGTATTATGCTACTAACAGCTATAAATGAGGAGTTTTATAAAAAAAAATTTTTCAGAATGAGTGAAGACTGGAAATCACTAGTGGAGAACACAGTCTAATCCATAGCTAAGACAAGAGATGGGTTCAGACATTTACAGGGGCATTAATCCAGAAGTGAATGCAACAGACTAACCTTGAATTTTAATTACTCTCAGATTTCACTTTCTGTATCAATATCCATAACATTAACCAAAACACGCGTAAATAATGGATAATATATATATAAAAATTTTAAAGATTTGCTAATCCTACTTGCATATTTTGCAATAAGTAACCTGTAATTAATTGGGATTCAGAGTTTTCTTACCATCAAACTTAAATACAACCAAGTTTCTTTTGCAGTAATCCACACCATTCATTTCCACTACACTATTAATGGACCTGGTCTTTTACCTGGTGTTCCTGGATGCATCAGCAAAGGAGTTGGTTGTACTTTTAATTGCACTTTTCATTGCCTGTGAAGAATATTCAGATATTCTATTCGAGGTCAATCACTTTCAATTTCTGATGTGTCAGTGTTGACATACTCATCCCTAACATAGGACAAAATTCTTTCACATAATTTGGTACACCATTGAATATGACCAAGTTTGAACCATCAAATTCCAATCACTATGTTCATCTCAAATTTGATGTATGCTGTTTACAGGAGTTTTCACCCAGATAGGATATCCTACTATATATATATATATATATATATATATATATATATATATATATATATATATATATATGCATACATTTTCAGTCCCAGGCAAAACAATTACAATACCGTCATTGTTTAGCCTCACCTGTTAGATGTAAATCACAGTAACGTTGAAGCTGAAATGTAGTCCCTCAGAGTTACTTTTCCATTATGCTGTTCCTGCCAGTGTATAGGCACAAAATCAAATGTCCCATTCAGCCACACCCTACTTCAAAATAAACAGTCATTGTCAGTTAACAACTCTCCTAAGCAGGTATCATAAGATAATGACTAATTCCAGTTAGCAAATGGCACACAAGGTATTGGTGAGGTATCAATTGTCAGATTATGAAGTGTGTAGGACCACAATTATAATAATGCAATATTTACTACCATAGTGATGTCTATATCCAAATGATTCCAAGCATCACTCAAACTTTCCTTTTCACCAATGCACAAGTGAAGTGTCTGCAAAGTGGCAAACTTCAGTTTTTGATCACTGTTTGGAATATCTTAATACATATGCATCTGTCAAAGTACAAGGTCTACCTCACACCAGGATGCCCAACTTGTCAGTGGGTCTTTATTTGATCACAACCCATGTTGTCTATTGAAACAAAATTTATTTGCACTGGTTCAGCTTGTATTCTGCAGTACCCTGGTCAAACAGTCAGCCCAATTTCTGTCATTATGCCAGTCATTCACAGCCATTGAAAAACCAAGGACTTCTAAGCTGGAGCATTATCCTGATGAAACAAGACCCATTTTGTCAATTTTCCCCAAGTGTTTGGTTTTGATAGCCTTTCATAATTACCCCATTAAGTTAGCATGGTACTCTCCATTGATGGTGTAGCTATTTTTGAAGATATCTGTCAAAAGAAAAAATCCATTTGCATAAAAAAAATAAGAGCCCTAAGGATATCACCATTCCTGCAGATGAAATGACCTTGGCCTTCTTTAGAGTAGATGAGAAAAAGGTGAATGGATTATCTCTAAGTGATGAACTCAACACAGGTTAGAAAACCAGCTGGATCTGCCTCAATGTCAGATTTTCCTCCCATGACAGGATAAGCCCTAAAATGTGGCCACCCACTAAGCAGAAACTTTCATCATGCCAAGTTCATTGTGCAGAATATTCTCATTTCTATTGGGATATGCTAATAGCATTGGTTATAGGATTTATAGCCAATTGCTCATCATTCATCATGTGGTGAACACAATCAAGGTTTTCCGCGGTTGTGGCACAATGTTTACACCTTGGGTCATCTTTAAGACCCCCTTCCCCCCTTCTAAATTCAGCTACCCACTTTTGCACGGTTGATAAAGCATCATCTCTACAACCATGTCAGAATGAATGTCCTTGGGGGGGTTAAACCCTTTTTCTGCAGGTACTTCACAACATCAATGCCAAATTTTCTACATTTTCAAGAGAGATCATTACCAGTTACTTTTGAAGTCTTTGAACAGTTAGATGTCAATTTACCTGGAAATAAACAATGCAGTTATTAACAAGAAAAGTGGAAATTAATGCATCAACGATTTCACAGCTCTAGCATCACTTCTTCAATTTCAGCCTATTAACTTTTCAGCATACCCTTATATAAGTTAATTATGCTTCAATAAATTCATTCAGGTAAAGTATATTAATTGAGAACATGATTCCACAGACACCAAACTCCATTCATGTGAAATACTCTTTCTTTAGTCACCACCATATTAAATGGCAATTGCAATTACATTTTCCTCAGAGCTAATACAGCAATATGTGGGCTTTGCTGATTACACTTCTAGGTTGACCATAAATACATCCACATAGTTCCCAGTAGTTCATTACTGAGAAATATCTTTGCTTTATGAGGCTGAATCAGACCTTTAAGAGGTCCAAGGTTCTTATCAGGAGAGGGCAGCAACCAGTCATTCCATAAGTCCTTTACTGCCCATTCTTTCAGCCATTTCCACATTACTAACCAAACTGCACCTCATTTATTTTATGCCTTTGAGCCTGACCACAGCTGGTAGAGAAAAACGACAATGCCCAGCTACTAGCTGAACAGTGAGTAAACACTTGTAACAATTATATCTACCGATATATACCAATTATTTGCGAATTTTGACTCGGGAGCTCAAACAGAAGGGTCAAAATTGTTCAGAATGCAGGGCTTAAAGGGTTAAATAAAAATTCCATGAAGATGGCACAGTATTTGCATTTCCTTCCCTATGGAGAAGGAAGTTAATGCATAGGACAGAGATACAGAGAAAGTGTGCATGTCATTTAATTACATTTTTAAAAACACTGAAGCATTATTTAATCATGAAAGACAAGTGCAATTAAGTGAAGAGAGAAAAATTTTTTTTTTTTTTTTTTAAATCAGAAACCATCTCAATTTGTAAAGGCAAACCAAGTGTTTTATAAAAGTTTAAATCTGAATTATTCCACGCAGAAAAGAGGAATTCATCTGTTAGCAAGGTTTGCTAAATTTCAGACAAAACAGTTTGGGGGGAGAGAGGGGTTCACATGCATGCAAACACTTCTAATTTTTGCCACAGTATGCAATGTAGTTATTGTTCATAGTTAGAATGCATATACAATGTTTTTAAATGTGAAGAGAAAAATTAAGATCTGAAAACTATCTAACCATGTTATTGTACTCCTTGCAGGTTATTTACATGGAAATGGAGACATTACCTTCAGAGCATCCAGTGTAGAAAATACTGGGGAAAAGTAAAGGGAAGCAATTTGCAATTAGACTATGCAATTTTATTAAGCTAAAAGTTTTCATCATGAATTGTCAGAAAGAATAATTTTCTATTCAATATTAAATATCTGTAGCATTAATTTGTTTTACTAAAATTCAAATTCAGCTAAACTGCTGGCAGGCAAACATTTAATGATAAAATAAAATTAAAGCTAAATCCATATCTTTCTGTTAAAAAGAAGTTTTTAATTTTCTTAATGTATCAAGATGCTTTTAGTCTTTATATCAAGAAATAGCAGCAAGTAAATTCACTAGTAGGGTAAGCAATGGCCAGGGAATCTCAGCAAATCAGTTACTGCCAAGAGGCCCATAACTTTTTCATTCATAGTAT